TTCCTGCTCTTTTCTGTCTAAACCCCTTTCCAGCAAACCGAGAACTTCTCCTAGCGGACTAGGAGCAAACTAGGAAACGGGTTCTACCCGCTATCCGCTTTTTATGAAACTCCACTGAAACGGAATTTCCAAACTCACTTCACCACACCAAATAAGCTGCCCAAAACGAGCGCTATATCTCAATTTTAAAATAATCAGAGATCGCTATGACACTTTTATAAATTATACAACTAAAATTTTAACACTTCAAAAAGAAATGAAGCACAATAAAATCATTTTAGAGAGTTTTTTTCTCATCAGATAATAAAAATATCATCAAAATACAGAAAGGAAAAACTAAAAAAGCTGCATTTTTCAGAAATTCTTCAGCTTCTTTTGTTATAACACCAATCCGAGACCAATCTCCGCTGTATCTGAAACAATTTTTTTTTTTAAATTGCAGATATATCCTCCAATCAATACATAAAATTACAAAAAAAAAAACCAGAAAGAAGAAGACTTGCCCAGCATCTATGAATCCCAGACCGAAGACAGCAATGGCGGATCTGAAAAGAAAGACTTTTGAAGCTCTGAAGCGAAGGTTGGATTTGAATTCCCCATTTTTCAACTCATCGCCGGATTCTGATTCCTTCGCCTTGATTAATCTCCAGAATCTGTTGTTTGATCTTTGGAGAAGAAGGTGAGATGAGAGGCAGAGAGAGGAGCTGAATCTGACAGATAAAAATCTCATTTTTATTTCTTTTGCTGCTTATTTTGATGAGGTTCTAGCTCTTGTTTTTATGAGGTGTGGAGTTGATGGAAAATGAGAGGATAAGGGCTTATGGGCTTTTAATGTTGATTTGCACTGGCAACATTCCAATAAATTTCAGATCTTCCTTATTTTCAATTTTGACTCGAGCAGGAGTTGGCTCAAAATTGACTCTGAAAAAAATTCGTTATAAAATTTTGCCTTGCAGCTCGACTTATTTCGATTTGATCTCAATCCAGGCAAAAATTTGAATAAATTTTCGAGCAATTAACGATATTCGAGCTAAATTTAAAGAACTACTTAGACGACTTATATGGCTTGTTAAATGAGTAAAGTGTCGAAATAGGAATAGTTTTAGTCCTATAATTTATTTCGATTTAATCTCGATCCAAACAAAAATTTGAATAAATTTTCAATCAATTAACGATATTTAACCTAATTCACAACCCTACTTAGGGCGACTTATGTGGCTTGTCAAGTGAGTAAAGTATCAAAGGAGCAGTTTTAGTCCTATAATTTATTTTGATCCGATCTCGATGCGAGCCAAAAATGGAGTAAATTTTCAAGCGATTAACCATATTTGGGCTAAATTCACAGCCCTACTTGGGTGACTTCCATGACTTGTTAAGAGAGTAAAATATCAAAATAGGAGCAATTTTCGTCCTATATTTTATAAAAGTATTAAAATAATTCTCAGATCACTTAAATTAGAGCTGAAATAATCCCTATGAATGACTATAAAAGCTAAAATTTAAAGTAGTCGAATATTATTCAGACATTTTTATAAACTTTGAGATTAAAATAGCCCGTATAAATAGTCATTAATTGACTGGGCAGTTTAACTCTTATTAAATATAAACTATATTGTAATTTTTTTTAGGGGACTTTACATAAATACCATTCAATTATTATTCATTTACATATCTAATAGCTAAACTTTAATTTTTATTTACATACCACCCCATATGCATGTATTTCACACTTTAAAAATTAAAGTGATGGTATTTTGTTATATGATATTAATGTAAAAAGTGAAGTTTAGAATATACTTTGAGCTCTTGTTTCTAATTTGGAGACTACATTTTTTTTATTTTTATCTTCTATTTTATATAATTTTAAAATATAAATAATTATTGATGGCTATATGATGGGAACAAATGTCAAAACACAATAAGCTTAAAACTAGAATAATAAAAATTAATGAACCAAGATTAGTATTACACATATTTCGAAATAAAATACATTTTATATGTATTTTATAAAAAAATTATCATAATATTTTGATATTTTTTTTCCATACTAAGGTGGTGTTTGGCTGAAACCTGAATTTACGTCAAATAGGATTTTTCAAATGTAATAAAACTGATCATCATCAGTGTGATGAAGATGAACTCGCGGGCTACGGCAGAAAGAAATTCTAAGAGTTCTCTGGCAATCGGATTTACTAAATCGAAATTTGCGTCGTAAAAGAAATGGAACACGCGAAAAAAAGTCGAAACACAAAAAAATTCAATTTAGAGTGTTAGATTTAATTTTTATTTTATTTTTATGTTTGGTTTGATGGTTATTTTTTTTTTAAATCATGCTACCAAACACCGTTTTCATGTCAAATCTATATAAAATCTGCGATAGGGAATGCACTGAGCATTGTCGCCTTCCTATCTCCCTACTTACATGGCAATCGCTCTTGGGTTCCCCCCTCTCCGATCTCCTCGAGCTAGATGCCAATGCGGGTCTCTCTGTCCATGTTTGCATTTGATTTCACCTAACCTTTCTTTTTAATGAGATATTTCTCGTTACTATAGATTAGTTGGGGTTTGTCGTTGTAATGGTTGCAAATCTGTGGTTTACCTATTTTAGTTCGAAACAATTGCTTCCGCTTTTGAAGTTGTTTATTAAGGAAGTAGTTATTCTATTTTAGGGGAAGAGCTATTTTGATGGATTCGGAAAAATAACGTGGTGGAGATAATTGGGGAAGAAGCGTGCGACAAGACGAAGATCAAAGAGGAAAAGATGAATTTAGCGGAAAGGAAATCGTAAGAAGAAGTGGCTCAGAGAGATGGAAATAAATCACATCGGTAATGAGATGTTTCTTGAATTGGGTTTTATTTTTTGTAGTCTTGATTGGATTTTTGTTTCTCATTGTTTTTCGCTGCCATTGAAATAGATGAAGAAAGTAGGCGATCCATTTTTTGGTGGTCAAAATAGTAGAATCCAATGGAAATACGGCTAGGTAAATTTTCTTGAAGAGACGAAGTTAACAAAAGATATGATAGAAAAACAAATTATAATCTAATGGTTGGATTCGACGTAATTATAGAACACTATCGTTCCACCAATTTTCTTATTGAATCCATTATAAAACCCGCATTAGGGAGGACATAGAACCTTCTCGCCTTCCTGTCTCCCTACTTCCATGATGATTGCTCATGGATTCCATCCTATCTTTTCTCAACATTTAGGGCTGGGGAAATGAATGTTCCCCGGTTGTTCACGGATTTCAATCCGATCAGCCTTCTCACTCCCTTCTCTTCCTTGTTCCTCACTTCATGGGTGTCTTTCTCATCATTATCTTCTTCAAAACATGGGAGGTTCCAACTATGTTGTCGGCATTTATGCGCTAGGCTTAGCCTGCTGGCTCTTTTTTTTTTTTTTAGATTGGGGAGCTAGATGCCAAGGTGGGTCTCTTCATCCATGTTTGCGTTTGATTTGACATTTTTTGATGAGATAGTTCCCGTCACATTAGATTAATTGGGGTTTGTGGTTGTAATGACTGCAGGCTTGCAGGCTTGTGGTTTGCCTATTTTAGTTCGAAACAATTGGTTCCATTTTTGAGATTGTTGTTTATTATGGAAGTAGTTATTGTGCGTAGATTTGATTTTGGGGAAGTGCTATTTTTTATGGATTTGGAATAATAACGTGGTGGAGAGGATCGGGGAAGAGGTGAGGCACCACATTAGGGCTGTCAAAACAGATCGTAGTTTCTGAACAATTCGTGTTCGAATCATTAAGAAGTTTGTGTTCAATCTTTTTGCTAAGCAAATCAGCCTAACATGAATATTTTTTTTGCGCTCGACATATAAACGAGCCGGACAAGAACAAAGATTTGTTCGTTTGTGTCCGACTCGAAATAATTAAATTAAATTACATTTATACACAGACACACACACACACACATATCTTGATTAGTAGGGTTGTCAAACGCTCTTTATTCATGAACAACTCATGTTCGACTCGCTAAACAAACGAGCCAAACAACAACAAATTTAATTTGATGTATTTTTGTTTCTCATTATTTTTCATTGCCATTGAAATTGTTGTAAAAAGTAGGTGATTCATTTTGGTTTTTACGTTATATTTTCTTAATAAGATTTATCGTATGAAGTAGTCTTTAATGAAAATTTATTTTATTTATATAATTTTTGTGAATCATTATTTTTATTTATTTATTTATTTTTTTGTGTTTGGTAGTGGTGGGCGTGGGGTGAGCGGTGCTTCAAACCCATTGCAATCAAATATATATATACATATATATCAGATAAAAATTGTGGAATTCAATAGAAGTATAACTTGGTAATTTTTTTAGAAGAGTGAAATGCTAGGGATTTAGAAGGTGGAATTTTTTGAGAGGGAATCTAATATCTGAGAAACAAACTATAATCTAATGCGCCGAACTAGTCGTAATTATCGAACACCATCATTCCATCCGTTTTCTTATCAAATCCATTTTAAAATTTAAGACAACGAGGGCACAAAACCTTCACTCCATCTTATATCCCTATTTCCTTAGCGATTGCTCTTGGATTCCCGCCTCTCTTTTCTCAATATTAAGGGTTGGGAAAATGCAGGCTCCACAATTGCTCCCGGATTTCAATCCAATCGGCCTTCTCACGCCCTTCTCCTCGTTGTTCCTCACTTCTGACGCGTTTTTATTGTTGTTTTCTTTTTCAAAACATGGGAGAGTTCAACTACATTGTCGGTGTTTTTGCACTAGGCTTGCCCTGTTAGCTCTTAGGGAGGGGCCCGAGGTTTGGAATTGCGAATTATGATAACTGCATTTGGGTTTCTCAATCAATGTTTGCATTTTTTTGTACATTTTTTTTAATGAGATATTTCTCGTTACAATAGATTAGTTGGGCTTTGCCATTGTTATAGTTGCACGCTTGTGGTTTAGTTGTCTTAGTTCGAAACAACTACTTTCTTTTTGAAGTTGTTGTTTATTAGGGAAGCAAATATTTTGTAAGTATTCAATTTAGGGGAAGAGTTGTTTTAATTGATTTGAAATAATAATGTGGTGAAGATGATTGGAGAAGGGATGTGCAATGGTAGAGATCAAATGGGAAGAAAGTAAATTTATTGGTAAGGGGATTGTAAGGGGAAATAACTGAGAGTGATGCAAATAAATCACATAGGTAATGAGATTTTTCTAATAGAGTATACTGAATTGGAATTTTTTGGCAGTATTTGATTGGATTTTTGTTTCTCATTATTTTTAACTTTTATTGAAATAGTTGTAAAAAAAAGGTGATGTAATTTAGTTTCTACGTCATATTTTTTGAATACGATTCTTCATACGAAGTAGTCTTTATTTATTTAGTATTTGGGTGTGGGTGACGGTTTTGAGGGGAGGGGTGCTTAACCGGCATTATATGAGGTTGCAATCAATTGTTTTTTTTTTTTTTCTGGGTTTTTTTTTTTTTCCTGTCAAGACTGTAAAATCTAACAGAAGCACAACTAGGTAAATTTTTTTGGAAGAGGAGTAAAATGTTAGGGATTTAGAATGTGAATTTTTTTTTTTTAGGGAATCTGATACCAGGGTTAGCCAAAAATCTTATAGAGAACAAATTATAATCTAACACATTTGACTCGGTCTAATTATCAAACATTATTGTTCCACTCATTTTCTTATTGAATCAACTATTAAATCCATGGAAGGGATTTGACATAACCTTCCCGCCTTCCCGTCTCCCTACTTTCATGGCGACCGCTTCTGGATTTTTGCCTTTCTTTCCTCAAGATTTTGGGCTGGGAAAATGTAGGCTCCTCAGCTGCTCCTGGATTTTAATATGATCGGCCTTCTCACACCCTTCTACTCCATGTTCCTTGCTTCCAACGTGTCTTTCTCACCGTCCTCCTCTTCAAAACCTGGGAGAGTTCAACTACATTGTCAGCTTTTCTAAGGTAGGCTCGCCTTGCTGGCTCTTAAGGAGGGGCTTGGAGTTTGGATTGCGATTTATGATAACCACATTTACTGAACAACTATAGATATCAATTTTTTTTTGTTTTAGTTGGGGAGCTAGATGCCAAGGTGGGTCTCTCCATCCATGTTTACATTTGATTTCACTTGGATTTTTTCTTAACGACATATTTCTCGACATATAGAGTAGTTGGGGTTTTTCTTTGTAATGGTTGCAGGCTTGTGGTTTACATGTTTTAGTTCGAAAAAAACTGCTTTCATTTTTAAAGTTGTGTTTATTATGGAAGAAGTTATTCTGTAAGGATTCCATTTAAAGAAAGAATTGTATCGATGGATTTTGAATAATAACGTGATAGAGATGATTGGGGAAGAAGTGCGACATGACAATGATCAAATGAAAAAAAAAAAAAAAAAAGGTAAGCTTATTGGTAAGGGAATCAAAAGGAGAAGTAGCTGAAAGAAATGGAAATAGATTGCATTGGTAATGAGATATTTCTTATGGAGCATATTGAATTGAGATTTAATTTTTTATAGTGCTTGATTTGATTTTTGTTTCTCATTTTTTTCACTGTCATTTAGATGGTTGTAGAAAGAAGGTGATACATTTTGATTTATAAGTTATGTTTTTTTTAATAAGATTCATCATATGAATGTAGTATTTATTGGAATTTTATTTTATTTATTTAATTTTTATTACTCACTATTTTTATTTATTTATTTATTGTGTTTGGTTTGAGGGGAAGGGTGCTTCAATGGCATTTCCGATGTTGCAGTTGGGGTTTTTTTTTTTTTTTTGGTCAAAACTGTAGAATTTGGTGGAAGTATGACTAAGTAAATTTCCTATATAAGAGTGAAATGTTAAAGATTTAGAAGGTGAATTTTTTGGTGAGGGAATCTGATACTAGATTTAACTAATAATCTGATAGAGAAAGAAATTATAATCTAACGCGTCAAACTCGGCGAATACTATCACTATTCTCTTTTTCTTATTGGATATTATTGACATCACTTTTGGTTGAGGTTTAGTTTTTCTCTTTAGTTGCCTAGGGTCTAACCATAGGACTTTCCTGTTGACTATTCCTAGAAAACTAGAAAAGGAACCCTCACCATCTACTAGAAATTCTACACTTCTCTTTGCTCAACTTGAAGTTCCACATATTGGTCCTAACCTCTAGCACTTAGTAGGTGGGGTCATTATAGGGGGAGCTCAAGGAGAGTTCCTATAGAACTGCTTGACCTTAGGGTTGACCCTAGGTGTTGGTCTAGGGCTAAGACACTTACTTGCACTCACCTCACTCACAATCACTCACAAAATTTAAACCCATAATTTCTTGACTTTGATCCCTTAATCTTTTGGGAGACTCATGCAGATGGTCCCCTAAACCCACTGGCCCTAAGCTAGAGTTTAGCTAAGACCAGTACATAGAGGACACAAATGGGATTTCCAATGGTCCATAGCTCATTTATGGTGGTTGGCATCCCAATTTTACCAAAAATAATCAACTTGGCCTTTTTCCACTAAACTCTCCCAAATTATCTGAGTACCATTGAAACCCTAAATTTGACAAAAATTCTCAAATTTACCCAAAATACCCAAATTTGTTCAAAAATTATTTCAAACCTTTTGAAAACATCCAAATTACCCAAAATCACCAAAAAATTGCCAAATTACCAAAATACGCCTCCTTAGCCCAAAATTTCAAAAATTTCAAAAAGTCCCAAAAATTTTACAAAACCTTCAAAATATTCCCAATTTCATTTTTCTCAACTACCACATGACCTAATTTGACCATTTTGACCAAAACCCCCAAATTGCCTTTAAAGACCCAATTTTCTCAAATTTACCTTAAATGTCTATCAATTTGGTCCCAATTTCCATCA